TGATGGAGACAACTCAAACATTCCTTCTGCAGAAGGAATTCTGCCAGAAAACCACAATTAAACTACAAAGATACCTGGGAACAAGTTACTTTCTAAACATTTCTGCTCAGAAATCAGTCACTGCCTGCAATGTCTCTCTGTATCTAATAGTTCAGCAGATCATACATTTATCTTTCAGAAAGCTTTCAAAATCAGTATCTTTACAAAAACTGACTTAAATGCTGAGCATTTAAAAATATTATATATTAAAAAACAAACCAAAGCAAAGATCCCACATCCGTAGGTTGCAGTGCATTGCCATACCTAAGTGCTAAATTCCTTACAACAAAAATAGCCCCAGAAGACAAGTGCAGAGGCCCTCACCACCCTCTGCTCAAGAAAATAATTAATCTCAGGAGCATCTATCAGTGTTTATGAGTAACTGATGGGAGGGTGTAAAGAGGGAGCCTGACTTCTCAGCAGTGCCCAATGGGCACAAACAGAGACACATCATCCCTATCTAACATAAWTTTTGCCACTTGGGTGTGTGTACACCAGGGAAGATTGCAGAGGATTGCAAAGTATCCAGTCTTGGAGATTTTCAATCCCTTACTGGACACCCAAGAAACCTGATTTCCTGAGAAATCTGTTCTTTCTGACCTTGCTTGAACAGGGAGGACCAGATGATGGTCTTCAGCAGTGCCTGCCAAACTCAACCACTGCCAAGCTGTGGTGTGTCTCCTTAGTGCTGAGGTGAAGAGATTAATCACCCTCCTTAACCTGTCAGCAATGTTCTTCCTGAGGTGTGCTGTTGGCCTTCTCCACTACAATGGTACATTGCTGCCTCATGCTCAACTTTTCCAAAAGGAGTCCTGGGTCCTTTTTCTGCAAAAATGCTTCCCAGCCAACTGGCCACCAGTTTGTGCTAGTATGTGGCTAATCTTCTTGGATATTCTTCCCCAGATGTGAACTTGACATTTCTTTCTGCTGAACTTCATAAATTCCCATGTTCYTACTTCTGCAATGTATTGAGGGTCTCTGAACAGGGAGCATTTGGCATGAGCCTCTCCTCCCAGTTGTGTCACCAGCAACTTGGTGAAGGTGCACTGTCCCATCATGCAGGTCATTMATAAAAACGTTAAAAACACTGGCTCCAGTATTGAACCCTGGGGTACACCAGTAATAACTACTGGCTTCTGCATGGACTTTGTGCCACTGACTACAAGCCTTTGACCCCATAAATTCACCTGCTTTTCCGTCCACCTCACCATGCATTTACCCAGTCTGTAATCCATGAGTTTGCCAGTGATGCTGCAGGAGACAGCATCAAAGGCCTCACTGAAGCCAAGATAAACAAACATCCACTCCCCTCATCTTATCCACTGGTCTAATAATCTCATTGCAGAAGTCTATAAGATGGGTAATGCACAAATCCACACTGACTACCCTTAATTACGTTCCTGTTCTTGGCAGTTTTCTCCTTCATCCTTGCCAGAGATCAAGGCCAAGCTGCCTAGATAATAATTCTCCAGATCCTCTTCTTGTTCTTCTTCAAGATAGAGTGGTGCTTCTTYTCTTCCAGCAAGTTTGTGGTAGTTCATTTTCCCTAAAGATCACTGAAATCCTCTGCTGCTCTGACCTCAGCTATGACGATGCTCCCCCATACCCCCTCCTGTTCAGTAAAGAGTTACTAGGTCTGCTTAACTGCCCCTTCTACAAGTTCCTGGCTACCATATTCCCYCTGCTTCTACCCAGTTCTCTGCTCATTCCTCTTCCCAGTCCTGGTGATCCTGGAACTCACTGCAGGTATTGCTTTCTCACACAATTTCATTACTAAGTTTTATTTGTCAGCTTTCAAATGGCATCCATCAGTACTTCAGGATGTATGTTAAATTAACTAAAAGACTAGTACATTGCTATTTTAGATACTTCTCCTGTGCAGCAGCTGTCTCCCCTTCTCAGACTTGGATTACAGACATGTAAATTGTTACAATCCAGTTATGTCTGCTTTTCCTATTAGGACATAAATCATCTGTTGTTACTTAACTATAAGAAAAATAAAATTCCCATACTACTCACATTCCAGAGTATACTACATTTTTCATTTCTTCCACAAATTACTCTCTAACTTAATCACTTGGCATGCTTCTTGGAAACAAAATGAAAAATTTCCATTTCTACACAGTTTTAACTTTGTTWCATTTGCCAGACATCTTTGAAGAACCACAGAAATACAATAAACKGTAAAATTACATGGTTTTTGGTTCTAGCCTTTCCCTATAAATCAAATCTAACACAGACTTACTCCCAGCCCCTGTTTCCAAAGTATCTCTCTTCACCACTAGAAAAGCCCAGTGATAACCAGACACCAGCTATTCCATGGCTGATCACTAACATCTAACACTCTGCAGTTTTCCCTTCTTTGTAAACAGCAATTCTGAGTCTACTCAGCCACAGGTAATGCCAGACTAGGCATATCATTGAAAGGAAATGCACTGCAGGTATTTATTTCCCTGCAGCCCATAGAGGGGAGCAGAGTGGAGCAGGAACTGTCCTGCAGCCTAATTAGAGGTCTGTGCCAGAGCACATATCCACAATGTAGCCTCTGGAGGACYCAAATCACACCAGGTGGACATGCCCTGAAAGAAATGTGACTCACAGWGGATCTGTGCTAGACTAGGTTTAAACGGAAGGACTGCAGCCTAAGGAATGTTTCCTGTGCTGGAGCAGGGAAAACATGTGAGGAAGAAGGTAAAGCAGAGAGGAATTATGAACATATGATCATAACCCCTATTTCCCATCCCTCTATGCTGCTGGACAGGACAGAGGTTAAGAGTAAAGGAGTGAAGCTGAGCCTCAGGAAAAAATAAAGGGGATAAGGTGTTTCACTTTTTGTCTGCTTCTCACAAACCAGATTTTCTTTAACTGGCTATAAACTTCTGTAACTCCAACTTCCCCATCTTCCCCAAGTATGGCCTATTTTGCATACCAGTTGCTGTCACAGGCAATCTCTGTATCTCAAATCAGAAGCTTTTTCACCTTGTTCTCCCCCCTGTCCCATGAAAAAGGGGAAGTGAGAGAGGAGCTGGTGGGTATCTGGCCACTAGCCAAAGTCAACCCACCACAGCCTCCAGTGAAAATTTCCCTCATTCAACCTTGCATSCTTTGCCTCTCCTTATTGCCATTTATATCTGAGAAGTGCTCAGGCACATCAGAAGGCTCCATCTTCCCTGCATCCTCTGTTCAGGCAGTTGCAAATATCAGTAAAATCTGCTCTTTAATTTCCCCATCTCCTCCCCAGCATRGAGAAACAGGATTCTCCCAGTCACAGTGTCACATGCTCCACCTCCCTGACAAGTAGCTTCCACTGGACTCCATTTCTTGCATTATAAAGCAAAATATTGGGGAAGGATGGTTCCCCTCTTACTAGCAGCCATCCCAGGAGATGGCTGGCCACAAGCACAACTAGTTTTCCACGAGCAATCCCAGATCCTTGTCTGCAGTGTTGCTTCCTGGCTAGTCCACCCCCAGCCCACAGTGGGACGTAAGAGTTACACCTCCCCTGGCACTGGACTGGGCAATTCTCTTTGCTGAAGCCCAGGCAGTGTCTGTTAGCCCATTCCTCCAGCATTTCCACATCTCTGTTTTGTAGCATATTGACTGCTTCCCTCACTTCGGATGGTGGTGTCWTTCTATTGTCCACCTGCCCTTTTCTTCCATTCATTTCAGAAGGATCTAAGGCTGATTAAGCAAGCACACGTATCTTGCACAGGGCCAAATAAACAGCAAAGCAGTTCATACAGTACTTACTGGAAATCTAAGCCTTTATCTGCACTATTACCTTTGTAGAAAGGCTTTGAAAACAAAATCAAAAGAGAACTAAGGTGAAGAGGAGAGACAACAGGTTAGCCTGACTCCTCCTGTGATTACAGAGGCAGGATAAAAAAACCCTCTTTACCTTTAAGCAGTGTATGTTTYATAGTGGGTTCAGAATCAAGATGATGATCTTTGTGTGCAGCAGTAACAAAAGCCAGTGGAAGAGGCAGAGCTGCGTGACAAAAGGGAAAATCCCTTCCACTTGGGCACACATTTTAACAACCTGGACAACTCAGTAAGCAGCTGTTATCTTCTGTAAGGAAACTAGAGASAGCATGGGAGTGTGAGCACAACTGAACACTTGATCTCACTCTCTCCCTTTTTGTCTACAAAAACAGGAAGAAACGCAAATATAAATTTACATAGCAAATACTTTCACAGACGTCAAACCCTTTCAAAATCAGTAGCTAGATGCAACCATTGCATTCAAAAGCTATACCTCYCCTTTAATAATTAAAGATCTCAGTATTGGCTTACAGTTAGCCAGTTCCTCAAAGGTGCTGCCGGGTTATGATTAGAGATCCCACAGCTGAAAGCTCTGTACTTCTTGGAGACACAGCATTGATATTTTCAGTCAGGGACTCAGTGAGAAAAGAACACAGTGGTTACAGTGCTTGAAATACTAATTCTGACAAATCAGCGCAACTCCAGTCTCGCTCTTGATTCAAGTCAGTTTTAAACAGCTTTTAAGGCATATGTAGCTGCTCTGAAAGGTAAAGCACTTGTAATAGCTGCTATTGAAATAAACAACTCCTCCCTATACACATTAAAAGGAAGCCATCATATTCCCTGCGTGGCAGAACAGATGTCACAAAAAAAAACGTGAGCATCTAATAGAATTCAAAGCTATAAGTGTCTCAAGCTTCAACTGATTGAAAAGAACAAAGAATTACCAAAACATCCCAGCTCAGCCTAGCTTCTTAGCATCCCAGCTTGCCATCGTCTTCCCAATGATTTTCTCACATCTTTTCTTTAGAGTCACAAAGATATAAACATGAAAAATATTCATACGTAGATGTGGTGGCCAAACAACATACTTGAGCATTTCTGCACGAAGCAAAATTAATTCCTGCATCTCCTAAAAGTACTATAGGAAGCAATTGTGACTTCAGCAATTGTGTGCTGAAGCCACTTGCATTTCTGTACCAGTTCAGGCAGGTTGCAGCACTGTTAAAGACTTAATACATTGCCTCAGTTTAAACACAAGCATCTGCAATTTCATGTGGTACAAGAAAATGACACATTTGCACAGGTATGTTTATTTTTCCCTGTGTTTACAGTGCATAAATTGTAATTTTAAACCATTCAGAAAGCACGATTTCAGACCAATTTTACATACTTTACATCACAGTTCAACAACATTAACACAGTTTTATCTACTAAATCAAATGAACAAAATGGCCATGAACATTTACACTATTCTTCTGTAAACAAGTTGTTTTATAAACAATGGTAAATTGAATTAACACAGACCACCATATGAAAGAGGGATAAGCTTTTTCTTAAATAAATCACTCTGTTTATAAATACTTCAATTCTCTCAATATACATTTACAGACATAGTCGATTAAAAGCTGATTACCTACACTGCTCTTTAAAAAGAAGATGTCTAGAGATGGACCACGGTGTGTTCAATTCACCTAACATAAGAAGCAAGCATATGATTAGTAGAATGTTAAAAGTATTACTGTACTTCGACCTCACTTCTGTTTGTTTACACCAACACTGAGAAGATTGTCATGTTAGGGAACTTTTACTTGAATTCCAGCAAATTACAATCGATCTTGTAGTACACATATGGGTAGTACTCCTGCTGGCTGAGGTTTAARCCTGGAATATCCATAGTTGCCTGCAAACAAAAGTTGTGAAAACAGTTACTCTCTTACAATTCAGACTCCTATTCAGAAGTAGATGAAATATTCATATGTTTTAGAAACAAACAGACCAGGTAAGACTTCAAGCTTAAATTTTCCTATTCAAGTGACTGTCCAAACAACAAATAAAGGTAGAACTCTGACAAATGACTAACAGTATTTTTCAAAATTAAATACAATGTGCTTCTTCAAAATCTAAGTAGTTCTATATCAATAATTCACATCCATATAGTAAACACACCATCACTACAACACTTACGTTTTACTATATCTAAGCACTGTCAGTTTCTGATAAGAATGTTATAGGGTGCTGAATGACCCAGGAAGTTACATGAAGTTCAGTATCTTTGATTTTCACCTAAACTGTCTCACATCCTCTTTCCACAAAAAGGCCTGGAAATACTTACATTCAATATAATATAAGGAATCTTTTTTAATTTAGCTAAACTCATGGCGTATTTAGTTAATCTTTGACTAGGAAAATTACTGCTTCACAATACAAAGCAACAAATTAGTAGAATAAGCCTCCTAACAAACCAATTTTAAATATGCAAATGAGACCTCTACAGATGGAAAGGCTGATTCCATTTTGACAATGACTCAGTCTTCTTCAGCAGAGGACTGCTATGCTGACTTGCAATCTGTATCTTTCCATCAGTAGYAGGAAAGAATGCAGTAAGAAGAAATCACATGTGACTCTTAAACCAGACAGCTCTTCAAATGTATTGGTTGCAACTTTAGATACCATCTGCTTTGCAAAAGCRTAAAATAAAAGCAGCATTTTTGTAAGGAGACAAAATTCTCAGTACTGTGAGAAAATCAAAAATATGCAGAGGTTCAGCTTTTTAATCATGTCAATAGACTTTCTGCTTGTTTAAACACACTAAATCTAATAYTGAAGAGGAGTAGCAGTTACAACAATACTTACATCAATGATAGCTGCTGCACTGCTGTCAAGATGTTTGTATAAGTCATACAGAACCTCCCTCAGTTTCTTCATTGTTTTCTTATTAGGCTGAAGTAACATTGCCTGGAAGTTAACTGGCAAACCATACCTGAGGAAGACAAGTAGAAAACTATGGAAACGCTGGTTTCATAAACCTTGTCTCATATTTCAAAGCAGAATTCTATTTTGAGAAAGAATCCTGTTGCTGAAGAGGAAATTCTGCCAATTTCCATTTTTGCAAAATCATTTATTGTCTACGATTAAGATGGCATCAAAAAAGTAGAACTACAAGTTTAAAATAACAAAACAGAAAGAAACCTAAATATTTTTAAATAATTCTAAATCCTGGAATATTTAGCGTAATTCTCAATGTTACCTGAACTCTCAGGCTAAATTTTCAACACTCCATTAGTTTACCTTCCTTATACCACTTGATGGACAGTGTAGGTCCCTCTACTTAATCCTCCCTTCTAGGAGTGTGGAAACAGTTGCCAACATTCCAATTAAGTTCAGCTTTCCTTTTCAATCAAGTTTTGACTTGAAWATAAGCCCATAGAAGCACAAATATAAGTTAATGTGATTGGTTTTCTTTTTCTCCTCTGTTTTTCTCCTTTATGACAACTTATCAAAAAGGCTAAAAACACCTTTCCCTTTGCTGACTATAGTAGGAACCTCAGACTATAAAAAAGGTTATTCCTTTGCAGAACAACTACAGCTGTTCTTGAGTAGTAAATACACTTGTGTATAGGCATGAAGGAAAAAAGCAGAGAAGTTTTCTAGTTAGAGTATTGAGTAGTTTAATATTGGAAAGTTTAGAAAACTCTTGATAGTCTTTAGACTACAAAACTCTTGTCTTAAAGGAAAATCATATATTTCATGATGCCGAACTATGTTACTGAAAGCCCAAATACTTTTGGCTCTGAACTATTCAAATTTCTCACTTAAGAAGATCTAGTTCATTCTTGTTAAAAGCAGCTCTTAAGCTAAAAGTCAGCAAATATGTCTTCCTGCTACTTACAGAGTATCTGTAACTCCAAAAGCACTAGTATCCAAGGGCAAGACACAGTTATCTACCTCAAATATTCCACAACTGGCAACAAGAGCTATTGCCACCAGCTAACTGCCCTACTTCTTGCTTCCTCCTTCCCAGAAGAGCAGCAATAATGCCTCAGTCGGTAAACCCAAACTAGATGTAAATTCTTACCAAGACAAGGAAGAAAATCACTATTTTCTTGCCTCATTACCTTAAAACAGATTCAACAAAAACACGTAATGCTTTCACATGAATCCATGCAATGAAAGCTTCACTGAAATTAACTTTCAGCCACCGAACCAGAGGCCCCTGYGAAAGAGAAGAGGGGAAAAATAATTAGGCTATTCAAACATCAGAGAAAGATTCAGCATTATGCACRTTAGAGCAGCTACTCAATATCTGTACCACAATAATAAAGACAAGTTAAAGACAGAGTTCACTATGAACATAATGGCTCAAGAGTGTTTTGACACTAAGAGAAATTTAATGAGACTTGCCATTGTCTCTTCAGTTCCCCATTTCAGTTGTCATGAGCTAACTATATTAAAGATCATTTTAGTGATATCTGATTATGTAATTCAACCACCTGTCCATTTTCAAACTCSAAACATTATCAGCTGCAATACCAGTCCTTGGTTCAATGCAGTGAGGAGCACTTGGGCTGCAGGAAATTCAATTATCCCAGAGYAGAGTGGCTGGGTGGCAGGCTGGCTACATCATGTCATCCTTACAATGCTTTTTCTGAATCACAACTTCATGAAATTTTTACATAGCAATAACAAGTCTTAGATGTCACACATTTCTATAGTCACCAGTGCATAAAGACTTACAAACTGTTTCTTCTTGTCAGTTGACAGTCTATTCATTTCTTCTTTATCAGCTTTCATTTCTTCCTCATTGTACTGGAAGTCACGGACCATAAATCTGCATTTGGAAATGAATAAAATCAAAAATGCCTAGAGAGCCTTCAAAGCATGAGAGACGAAATGCACACAAAATAAGCCTTACTTATATTCTCTGGCTTTGTGCTTGAAGTCATCCACTGCCTTCCTGAACAAGGTGACATTACAAAGGTAACTGTCTTGGTCCTCAAAGAGTACACTACAGAGAAAGCAAACAAACCAAGTGTCAGAATTCATAAGGTTCAAGTCAGCACAGATCAGCCATACAGCACCACAAGCTGTACTTTATTGCTAGAAGGCAAGGGCATAAATGTAAGTAATTATACAGRATTCAGTTTCCAAATTAAGCACCTCATACAGAATGTAACTGACTTTTCTTAAAAAAAAAAAAAAAAGTCTACATGTAGACTTTATCTTCCATGTGGTTGCAAGATTGCTAAAGTGGTTTAAAGCCCTCGGTSTTGCCAATCACAGCACCAAGCACCAGCTTGATACCAAGAACCCAAAGAGACAAGCCACCCTTCTTTGTACACAACAAAACCATTTACACTTCAAGTTCTCCATTCTTTAGCAGCTTTCAAAGAGAACAYATCACTTGTTTCAAGTCCTCTGAATACAGGTCTAAAGCTTACAGGCCAGCAGCCAGTATTTGYTGCTTACCTCCACCAAGCCCCAGCTTGAAGCTGAATACACCTGACCAGAACTAGATTAACTTTTCAGTTCTCTTAGTCTTCTCACATAAGTTAAGTTTGGTAACTTTGTTAACCCTAAAGTTTATTTGAATATTTCCTCAATTATCTGTTCAGATTTATCAGATAAAGCTATAAAGCTAGACATTTTGACAAGTTTTTGAACAATTTTTAAAATTCAAAGTCACTCTAGACAAAAAACACTTCTAATACACAGCACATGCAAATATGAGATTTAGCATTTAACAACTTACTTGCTGGAACGTGGTACAACCATCTCTGCTAGTGTTTCATACTGCTTAACCCAGTCATTATAATTTAACCTAGAGAATAGACAGGTTATGGTTAGACTTTTAGCACTGTAGGAAAAACTCCAAGATTAATGGATCAAGGGCTTTTTTTAAAAAGGTAAAAACATTTAATCATYTTCCAACTCAGGTGCAGGTTATCAGAAATACTCAAGACTCAAGAAACAATCACTTCTCCTCATGGTCTTTTTATAATTACTGATAAATAAACTCCAGCAATAGCAAAAGTAACATATTTTAAGTCTTCATGTAAGTTTAAAAGTGTAACATTTTTTAAATAGAAGAACTATGAAATTAAATCATTCATCATTAASAASAGATCTCAGGGGACCAAATGGATTKAACTGTCAWGGCTGATCAGAAACTCCTCATGCAACTCTGCTCTTTTGAGTTACTAATAGGAATACTTTCTCCACAATTATAAATGGGTTCCCAAGAGTCCTGCACTTGCCCTAAGGACTGGGAATTTTAGAAGCCCTGCCTTTCTGTAGTTGGTTATGAAGAAATTCCACCCTTTCAACAGCAAAAACAAGTCAAAGGAAAAGAAAACTAACMGCTGAGATATACTAACCACCTGCTTTCTGCTAAAGCCAATGCAGAACTGTTTCTCTTTCACCAAAAATTGGCATGTGACAGACTCTTATGTTTCTGGTGGTAAAGAGAACCAGGGGGCTTTTCCTAAGTTAGAACCTCTCTTTGGTCCCAGCTCCAGAAAGACAGACTAGGGCCATTTTCTCACTTTACAAGAGTTTAAGGGCATCTGTATGACCACTTTCCTTAGCCAGGGGAAAATACGGGGCTTCTGTTGTTTAAACATTCCAAATGAGAACAGCCTGTTCCCCCAGCAAGCCTTTGACATGACATAAGCAGGGTTTCACTGGTAGAGACTTAGGCAAGTAAAAAAAATCAGTGTTAAGGCAATCAGAAAACATGCAGAGCAAAGAAGTAAAGAGTTCGCTTCACTCATTAAGTGGTGRAAGTTGGTATAGCCCTAACCAGGATAATTTAATGATTAAGCCTTCTAATGTAAAACAAGTCATGTTTTTACTCAGCACTTATTTTCATAAGGATGCCATCTGGAACATGACTAGTCATAGCAAACACTGGATAAGAGACATAAATCTAATCTCCAGTTTCTTCAAGAAATTCATGAGCMCTCAACAGACCACATTATGAGCTTTTGTGAACAAAGGAGTGTAGGCACTTTTCTCCACTGAGCATCTAACATTTCTGTTTGTTCATCCAGGAAAGCCCCAGGTAAACTCAGATGTCATTCTTACAGTATTGTTTGATTTATATTTCTTATTGTATTCTGTTTTTAATATGAATATACTTACTTCGGTACAATCACTAATAATGTGACCAAGTATTCTGAATCAAGTACAAAGTCCTCYTTCTTTACAATATCCGCAAGACTTCTGGTTAGCAAGCTTCCCCTGCAGAGAAACAAAGACAGCCAGAACAATTACATGTTTAAGAATTGAATTTGTCTGGATAAGAGTTTCCAGTGCTTGATAATACAGCATTCTCAAAAATACATTTTACCTGCACAATTTCTATTAGCAGAGCAAACGAAATGGCCTTACATGTATTTTATATGTATATCTCACTGACCAAAGTCACCGAAAGTTTTATCAGTAGCTCCACTGCTGTGCGTCACTTCCATACTCCAAATATGTCACCCACTTAAGTGGCCAACGTTTCTTTTTAAAAGTTATTTAAAACCACAAGAACCATTAAAAACATTAACTGTGGATTCTAGTGTATGGAGCCTCAGAGTTCTAACTAACCTAGTACAGACCTACATACAGAACACCAATGAAAATTTAAAGCAGTATGTTTCCTCATTTTCATAAAAGACCACGAATGTACATAGATTTAATGGGGTTCAGCTGACTAACTGCCATGACTTAGCACAGCACTTAAGCTCACTCCTAAAACAGCTTGTCACGTACTGTYATTGGCATGACCCATGGTTCTGAATCAGCCAGCAGGCTTGTGCTAGTCACTGTAATGGCAGGGTTCAGGCAAATTAATCAACCACATTGCACAGAAGAACTACTGTACCTCAACTGTATTTCAGATAATCATCACACGTACGTGACAAGACAACACGCAGTCCTTGTATAATTTATTATCTGCATGTACACAACAGCTGCCTCTGCTGGTAAATTCTGAGGGAAGAAAACCAGTTAAGTTGGAGTGAAGGAAAGACTTCCTTGTTTAGATATGACACCTAAGTAGCAGCATTGCACACCACTAACAGTAAGCTCCTCTCAAAAGTTCCAGAATTTATGCTATTTGTACATGCTTTTGTGATTTCTTAATTGCTTTCCAGTCACAAGTAAGTTAACACCAACTAGTCAGCTGGTAATACATTTTCTTTTCTGACAGCTGCTCTTCAAGATTGAYTAACACCTCAAAAATACATTAAGCTTAAAGCCTCTATCACTCCACATTTTATTCAGTTTTTGTGCTTAGATAATGTCCTGTGCTACATTAGTAAAAAATAATACAACTTACGCATTCTTTCTTTCCAGATTCTGAAGATTCCCTTTCAGATTATTGTATGCCGAGGCTCTTGCTTTTAGATCATTGTCAATCTGGTTTACTCCCTAAAAATAAAAAGAAAGGGAACTATGTCTAAAGAACTAGAATACAACTTATGTTTATCTTGCCATTGCTGCTCAAGTAATSCTGGAGGATGGATTTGAGAAGGAGGCTTAATTAGCATGATTACCAAAAATGATTAATGCCTAGATAACTTGGTAGCACATGGAAGAATACAAATCAAATGAAGCACTTCAGTAYATCTTAAACAGCCAACCATACTCATATCAGTGTGTAGCCATTACAAGGAAGTGTTTTAAAATCAATGCACTCCATAACAGCTGGGAAACTGAAAGAACGGGGCACAGTGTTGGTTTGGCATCATAATGCTGCCTACTGCCTCCTCACTGTAGCATGGAGATTCAAGCATATAAAAATTCCCAGGAACACGTTTCTGAACACAGGCAAGGGACTCTCCCTTTACACAGATTAAGATCACTGACAAAATATCTTTTTTGCATAAAACACTTCAGCTTGAAGATCCAGATACGCTTTGTTTCCACAAAACAAATCGTAAAAGCAAGGTCACTTAATAAAGAGTGACCTTGTTTATGGTAACACCTAAGATGGCTTGTCTGTAGCAGGAAGTCATCAAAAGCCTGAGTATTTTGGTAGTTTCATCTGGCAACACATTAACAGCTTGTACCTTTCAGATACAGCGATGATATAGACAAAATACTTGGAAAATGACAAAATTAAACAGATGAGTACTTAAGGCTATTTATATCCTTTGACTGATACAACCTTTAGCAAAGCATGCAGAGCATTTCAGCAGATGTCACACAAAGCATATACCTTCATGAAATTATTTTATACTACAAGAAGTAACATTAACAGTTTGTTGTTTTTTTTTTTTTTTTACAGCTAGAAGACAGCATTACAGGCAAAATTAATCAGAAGATATYAAGCTAGTACCTTTGTGCATTTCAGCTTTTTCTCAGAGCGACAACCTTGCCCTCTGCCTTTTACAAAGATCAAGACTTTCAACAACAATCTAGCTATGCATTACTTAATGACAAAACCCAATAAACAATACCAAACGCTGCCTTTACGAACCAGTTCCATTCACCATTTCCTGACTGGCAATCCTCTAATTGCTCTCTCTGTAGAGTCAGTAGTCTTTTAAAAGATCACTGCTTAGACAAAAACCTGTTACTGCTGCACTGACTGGAGTTTACTGTAAACAACAACCACTTTGCTTTCTATTGAATGTCAGAGATGCAGAGCCGCAAACCTCAATATCACAACAGAGCCCTTAAAAACAATTTTTTGTAAAATTACCAAATAGGCAACAACACAAACCTCCTTTTGGGAGTAGAACTGGTGAATAACTCAAGAGATGTCATTGCAAAAGGAGGCAGACCGTATTGCCGAATAAAGTGCCAATATAGCATGGTGAGCCTATTTCTACACAGAGCAATCCCAGAKATTTAAACCACTTATGCAGTCATTGGCAATACACAAATGTCTTCTTGTCAACAGCCATACAACTGAGCTATTGCACTTCAATGGATGCCTGGGCTGCTGAAAAAGTTGGACTAGGGCACTAAGAATATTGAGGTTGTCACTTTGCATAAGTCTGATGACTAATTTCAAATTCAAAGAATGATYTAAGTGACAGCTCTCATATAGCGCAGATGCCATCTCCAAAGTCTTCTGTATTGAAACTGGGGTTCACAAAACTTCTAAAAGTTAAAAGCTGAAAAAACTTGATGGATGGTTTCAGTAGATTTAATTTTATTTTAAAGGTTTCCGACACTGCTATAATTTCTTCTCAACTGACAAACTCCCCACTGCAATTGCCATTACTCATTTTGGCTGACATCAGAATCTGCTGCCTAAATGAGCRAGGATGATATAAAACATACAGAAAAAGTAGTCTCTCATGATTTGACAAGCTTTTCAAATTATTTAACATCAATATGTCAAGAGGCTTCAGAGATTTTAATTAATGTAGTTSTATCAATTTTCCTGTATCTTCACTTTGGTATGTGATTAACATGAAGATTTTATCTCTGTCAGGACTCCCTTTGCCTTGGGACAAAACTGCTTGAAATCRCATGATACGATCTCCTAGGGGTCATTTCTAGAAGAACATGAGGTATCTTCAGTTACCCTCCTTCTCTACTTTATGGACACACATCTGTGGCTCACTGTYGAAAGCATGTTATAAACTATTTGAAATCAGATTTATGACATAGGTGTCCTGAAGCTGTTCCTACAGAATACAAGTGCAACTAAACATGAAGGGAAATGGAAACTCTCATCYGGATGACTCAGGCTGAATGCCAACTGACCTGTTTCTCTGCATTTACTATCCAACCTAATAGCTCAATGAGGTCCCTAAAGTAGATAAAGAATGTAAGACAGTTAGAGTTCAGGTTCTGGAGCACAACTTTGTTGCAAGCAGCATATTTATCTAACAAACTCCAGGACACAGAATAACATGCACTGAATCCCAGATAATTTTCGATAAAATGCATACCACTTCATGTCTTTTGTTTCTTTTTCAACAAATTTAATTGCTGCAGAGGAAGTGCTGTACTATGACAGCTGTAAGAAGTTCAGTGCTTCATTTTGATACCTCCTTCTGAAGAAGCAAATATCATCTACTAGTGTCAGACATTAAGACTATAATTTTATATCTGTGAGATATTTTTAATGTGGAAATCTTCAGAGCCATAAGACAGCCAGTCATCCTTCAACAAAAGGCCACACTGCAGATGTTTTCCAGAAATACTTACTAAATGTAATTTGTGGAAAAAAATCAAGATAAAATGATAGTGAAAGAAAATATCAAAAATGAAAGTGCTAATTGCATTCTCAGTCAGCTTTGTACCATATATTAAGATTTTGTAAAAAAAAAAAAAATTGATATAATAGTTTCAGGAATCAGCAGCTATAGCAAAGCACAAATCTGCCAGCACTTACCCCCATCCCAACCCATTATAATCCCTRCATATCCATCACCTAAGACTATATAGGTACCCAGAACAGCTGCTTCTTTTTTCCAAGTTATGTATTTCCATTTAGTGACACAGGCAGTTCCAAGAGCCAGTCTGCACATTATAGAAAACAGGGAAGGGAAAAAAAAAAAAAAGCTGAAGAGACTGGAAAGATATTAAAGCAAGTGTTGGTTACACAGAACTCTCTCACTGTMTGAATCAGTCAGTCACTGCTGAGGACCCTGTCTAGGCTCAGAAGTAAGAGCAAAGCAAATGAAATCCTTTATATATGAAATACTTTGTCAAGTAAAGATGAGGAAAATGCATGACAAGTTTCAAATGAGCTTTCTTGACATGTAACAATGAAGRTTTATTTCTCCCCTCACAACTGAGTGCCACAGCTTTCAGAATGTAAATACATTTCCTGGTTCACTGCTAACAGCCTACAAGGTTTGAGAACATCGGGCAAACAATATACCAGTACAGCTAAACTTAAATGTAAACGTCATTTGCTGGCAATTTATTTGTTAACTCAGTGATCCTAGGAAACAAAAATCAGCAAAGACAGCATGACGGCCTTCAGGGAGCACTCTTCAAATCCTATCCACATCTTAATGTATTTCTTTTGTTACKAACTGCTACAAGGTTCACTACTATTATTAGCTGCCCAAAACAGAAAAACAGCTTTCAGAGCAAGTTTTGTGCATAAATATCTCAAGTTCAAATACAGAAGTTTTAWAAAACAAATTACCTTACCTTTGCAATAATTTCTGAAATATTCTTCAAGGATTGCTTGATTGGGTATTTGGCCATATCCCACTGGAACCTTGTTATATAGGTGACCAAGTCAACTAAAATTGTAAGGAACTTTGGTAAGATAGACAATGAAAAGGCTAACATATTACATTYCATGTAGAAGTGCTGTAACAGAAGAGAACTGTAACAAGACTGTGGACCTTTCCCATGGGTAGACCCTGTGGTTTATGAAATTTGAAAATATACAAGTTGTAAGTTATGCATGACCTCTGACTTCAGATATTGGTTTTTCTGCCTCTGTAGACCCTAAGTGATATTTACTACCAAGTCAAGGATGGTTGGAGAATGACAGATGAGAGCAAGTATTTTTCGCTCCATATGGAAAATGGGTGAAAGAAGGGAAGGGTCTGATGGCAATWAAGGCAGCAATGACTATGTGGCTCATCTGAAGTGACAGTTTTGTAAAGTTGTCTACAAAAGACACTACTCCTTATCCATTCATATTAGCCATTCTTGCATCAATACAAGCTATATTAAATGCCTTTGAAAATAAAATATTGATTCAGCTAAAMGTGCAGCTCTTTACTGAAGTAAACGTAGTGACTTCCCCCAAGTCCTTCTCAGCAGGGCTGTTCTCAAATCCATTCATCCCCCAYCTGTATTGATACTGAGGATTGCCCTGACCAGGGTGCAGACCCTTGCACTTGGCTCCCTTGTACCTCACTAAGTTTCAAGATCATTGCCTTCTCTTCCACTGTTTTAGGATACACCTGGATATCATGTTTAACACTTTACCTCCATTAGCCAGAAGATTCTCCTGAACTTTATCTTTACTGTCTTCTAGAACATCAGCCATATATTGGGCCACCTTCTTTACAACACTAAAAAATGAAAGATAAAGATGTATTTAAAAAAAACCAAAACAACAAAAACTCAAACCTGCCATTTGAGAAATGCCATTCACAAAACTGATTTAAAATTGCCTGAGATTGGATCAAAAGTGACTGGATCAATCAAGCACAATGACTGCTCTACATACAAACTTTCCAAGAGCACAAACTAGGCTCAGTATCTGAAGGAGACCAACTTCTCAGAAGTATTCCACAACTTTATTTAAAATCGTCTCTAGTGTTGGTGCTCATCAGCAGTTCTCAACAAGGTGAGACTAGCTCCCTCACATTGGTGTTGACTTCAACTGTAACATCATTATATTGCAAAACCTTTTTTCAAGTCTGTTTTATTCCCAAAATTCTAATCCCTTTCTAGAAATACATAGTGAGGCAGAAATCATCAGAAATCCAAACTAAACACAAGGCAACCCAGACATCGCAATCTGACATGCAAGACCTGCCTTCCTAACTAGAAAAGCCATATGTAATACTATTCACGGGTGCCAGACTAAATAGTTTCCTTTTCTATTTAAAAGTATCTACTTCAGATTTCTCTCCTTGAAACAGAGGATGGCTCCATGAATTCTGGTTATGTGAAGTTTTGCTACTTTTGCTCAAAATCTCTTTCAAAAGGCCATATGTTTCTTTGAAATGAATAGGTTTTGCATTTTATTAATAATGTTGTTTAMGCATATCTATGGATTAGGAAATAACATGGTCATTTTCTCAAAGTGTGTAAGCAGTACTCCTSCTAAAAGAACAAGCTTTTACTTCATTTAATCACCACTTCCTGCAATTGTCAGGCTCAGTTCTTAACAATTCTCCAGGACCCAGCTGCATGCAGCACTACTACAGGAGAACCATCCTACATTAATGCATAATGTCCCACTATTCCACAAGAGGTTCAGATTATTTTTCTTCTCTCAAGAAGATAAATGCTGTAAAAAACATCATCTTAGCTTTCTGACATCTTAGCTTGCTGACTGCCAGCAGAGGATCACCTGTGCATTAATACAAAAAATGCTGAAAATAACTGGTGTATTATTAGGACTCAGCAAACCTTTACATTATTATTTTAATACGTTGCATCCTAGTAAAAATAAACTGTTACCTCTCCACAAATGCATCCAGTTTAGCCAGCTCATCTGACAAACCAACCAAAACATCCAGTGTGCCAACCTAGAAGCAAAGATCAAAATGCATTAGCAGATGGATATAAACATAGAAAGATAAAACCAACTAATAATAAATGCTACATCTCCCCCACAAGTGGCTATGCAGAACTACATAAAATGCTGGACCTTAAGATTTCAGACATCTTGATTTACCAAAGTCACAATGTGTTTCATTTGTTCAAGACATCCCTCCAATAAAGCACCCCAGGATCAGATCTAATTCACTAGTTTGGTTCAGTTTCAGTCCTGCAATCTAGCCATCCAAAACACATTATGAATTGCCTGTATTTTTCACAAGTCAGTTGTTTCAGCATTAAATTTACTGCTTTAGATCAAATGTGAAATTTCACTGATCAGGAATCTCAGCACCGAAGGCAACCCAGACACTGAAAATTCTGACGATACAAGAGCACTGCAGGAGACAGACCAACAAGAGTCTGGACATTGTGCACCTGGGGTAATAGAATACCTAGCTTGTCTACAAGCTTTCACTCTTTCTTCCCTTCTCCTCCAGAAAACACTTTCTTCCTCAATTTCATGTATCTAGAGTACACATTTCTTGCAGAAATATTACAGGGCATAAATGAATCCTCTGTMTAGACACAATGCTATTAACATTTAACATATTTGTAGCCTAGCATCTATGTTCTATATATCTGACCACTCCAATTCTCATTATTCCTTTTCTGTTTAGACATTATTCCTATTCATGTTTGGACTGCCTGAACATGAATATGGACTAGAACAAGTGTCTGTCTCCTCCCAGAAGATCCTTGAGCGTGAGTCAGGATGGCTCTCAAAACATAGGGTGCCTACAGCATTTAGAAGAGTTATCGCTGAAARCTTTGGTGCCCATTAGCGTTAGAAACAACTGGTTTTGCTTCTACTCTGCTTCCTAAAAGGGGCAGAAGCTGAATATATCTTACATAGAGTGGGAAAGTCAGGCTTCTCTGGACCTGGTGAAACTGTTTAAGGAGTGAGTTCCTTTASTTAAAACTCTTTGAAACAGTGGTTTAGTCTCCACTAAACAGAAGCCTTATTGCTTAAAGACTCACTCATCCTAAGGCTTCTAAGTGRCTARTGAAAATTATGGCAGTTGGAAGATCTTCTTAAAAGGCACACAAAAGCATTTTGTACCCTGGACTCATTCCTTAGAAACAGGAAAAAGGCATTATGCCACCTGAACTTGATCCACTCTGGAGACAAAGACCAGTGGCATTTTTTCCTCATTTTTATAARCTTTAATAAGCTTTCACTCTGTTAAACTGGGCTCAAAATTCTTGTTCAAGAAACACTGAGGTGTTAGGACAGACCTTTTCTTAATGAGTACACTGGCTCATAACTTTTCCATATCCCAAAGTTTGTATTAAACYAAGATGAATTACTTTTAGATTTTGTTCCAATTTGCTTCTCACTGAAAATAGTTCAGTTTTCTTTCCATTTTCCACAACACACTGGCAGGTCACACTGGAGTGCTCAGCCAGAGATAAACCACTACTCCACCAGAAGAATATTACTCCTGGACAGAGAAAAGGCAGAGCATCTATTTGATGAACTCCTGTATTTTAATTTGAACCTTTTCACTGTGTCTCAGACAGAAAAAGAAAAGACAATTCAGAAGGGGGAAAAAAAAAGCAAAACAAAACAGTCAAAGGAAACTCTCAATACTCACATCACAGGTTCCTATTTTTCTTCTCCAACTAATTACTACCACTATGAGATCAAGACTACCATCCTTGGAAAAACTGCTTTATTAGCTGAAAGAACCTAGGTTTCTGAATCTTGAAAACTTATATGGAGTGAATAACCAACTTAGAAGCTCAGAAAAAAATACCTGATGTCTGAATTATTTCTTCGATCCACACATAAACATCGAAAGAAATCAGCTGTTTTCTCTAAAATATCTGAAAGTTTTAATCTAGAGAAACAAAGATGATGCAAAACAAACACACRTCTTAGGACATGACATGGGGTTTACATACCTTCAAGTCCGGAATATTGAACTTTGAATTAGTAGAAAGATTGTTATGTTTTGTGGTTGCTGCATGTAGCTTCTCCCATGTCTGTTGACAGGTTTTTTCCCCAGGAGCAGAAATCAGCCAAAATTCGGTCATTTTTTTGCCTTTATCTTGATGTTTTCTGTTTCTGAAGATAAAGGCAATATGCTAGTAGAAGGGAAGCAAGGGAAAGAAGAAAAAATATCTACCATTAGCACATCAGTCAAAGCTTTGCCTGAAGAAAAACATCTCATTCCACACATTCATCTCACACACATATTGCTAAAGTGTAGTTCCAGTCAATGTARGAGATTTTACAGGAGTATCATATAGTCTCAAATTCTCTTTTTCCTATCTTCCAACTTACACTTACACAGTTGGAAAGTCTTTTTCATCTGCCCAWCCCCTATGTTAAAGTGGGCTAAGTTTGCAACATTAGCATCTTTCACCTGTAATTCTATAGAAAGATAACAAGCAARCAATCTGACTGAAAATAAATCAAACAAAACAGGACCCAAATGATATTTTCACATCTATATACATTTTCCAGTGTCTGTAAAACAGACAACTTTTTCTGAATGCATCAGAGGAAAAAAAGAAAAACAAGTTTCAACCCTGATATATCTTTGCCAACTACTTTTCAGATTAGGACAGTGTTTTAAAGTAAGTAAATACCTAAAATTATTCAAATGCAATAAAATCTACTTCATTCTTTCAAGCAAAGAAAGCAAGCTTTCCTGGCACCCAAAAATTTCAACAAAAAGGAGAACACTTTCTAATCTTGATACCTCTATTATCACTGCAGACCATCAATAAGGTTCACATACCGGCATTAGTCAAGAAAGTGTTGATACTAAATACACATGATGTTGGTTTACTTTGTAGACAAGCTCAGGAAGTTTAGAGTATATACATTCTTCTCTCACTAAGAAACAAAAGCATCTGGTTGAGAGTTACTGGATTTTTAAAATAAGGGAGTGAAGAATGAAATAAAAGTGTACCTTGACAGAACCTAAATGTCAAATTTTGATATCTGCAAAGTCTTCTGTAGCAGCTTTGAATGAGTATAGACTAACCTACATTTCATGAGCACAGATCAAAGCATTCAATATTTTTGAGGGAAAACATTGTATTTGTTAGAACTAGCATGTGGTAGCAAACTTTGCCCAAAATARTATACATGGGTCCTTCATCTGTGTATGTATTCTAGGGGTAGCAAGCTATCAAGGGTGTTGAAATTCCAGGTAAGCTAAAGAAAGGCCTGATTGCTGATTCTTTTGCTCAGCTACTCAGGAAGCCTAAAGCTGAAGTTTACCAGCTGTTAAATTACTATAATGAAGCACAACCTGGCATAGCAGCCMTCCCCCTTGGACTTAAGGGGCCTTGTTTACAGCAGGAAATGATGACACCCAGTTATTGAGGCCCTTGCTGCCACACTCTGTGATGTCTGACGCTGTACCACCAGGGAGATATCTGGGTTTGTAGCCAAGGCAGGTACAGGTATTTCAGAAATCAAATTATTTACAAGACCAGACACACACAACATCAGTTATCACCATGCTACGAGGCWTTGTTCAGCACCAACTGGACTATCTCACATAATGTGTCTCCACAGGAGGTTTACTCTCAGTGATTTGGAACAAAATTTCCYCTTGTTCAGACTACTTTGATGCATTATCTTCCTTAATACATGACAAACTTGATGCACAAGAGGTTTTCCTATGCTCCACTGAACTCTGGCTCCATAAAAGGTAAGTAAGTAAACTTCACCCACTCTGGGAGACACTGCTACTGCTACAGCTCACACTCTCTCTCTCTCTCTCACACACACACACACACATACACACACTCCCAGTGTTTAAGCTTTAAATTTTGTCTGGATTTGACTAGACTAKGACTAGAAAAATCCGTGGAATAAATGTTGGCTAAACAAACTAGTTTAGGCGGTGGCAGCAGCAATTTGCAAATATCCAAGTAACAAACAGAAGAGCCATAACATAGAAATCCAGAATCCTACTCAGTAAGACACAGGGAACATTGCATTCCCATGTTTTCCACAAGCATCAATACCCTCTACAGTTATTTCCTCCAGAAGTGGCACTGGTGGAACAGTTGTAGCTCTCAGGAATCATTTAGTCACTAGACTTCCCTTCCTCCCTCGCCACTTTTTGTCTGCACKGCTGGTTCTCCTGAAGCTCTGTTCCATTTCTAATAGCCATAGGAAGGAAGATGATTTCCCATTTCAGGTAAAATGGAGGTATCAAACACACACACTAGGGAACAAAARGCTTGGTAGAGAAGGATTGAAGTCCTCCCTTACATGAAGGGGATAGAAATCAGAACAATGGAGAATGCYAAACAAGAAGTGAAAAAAGGAGAAGTGCCACAGAATGGTTAGAAAAACAGATACAAATGCTTATCAGACAAAAAATACATACAGACTCACTGTAAAACGAAAGTCATGCAATTTAAAGGAGAKAACTATAGGATAAAGCAGGAAATACCAAGTGTTCAAAATAAAACCTATAGAATAAAGCAATAAGAATGGCTAACTGTTGTTCATACCATGTGCCTCTATGACCAACATTGTTTTGTAATGTATACTGCTTCTTTCCTATGCTAACAGGAAAAAAAAGGATTTCCAAAGAAAAATCTTTCATGCAGTACACTATAATCTAAAATAAAACCTATGAACAACTGTTTTGAGTGCTGTACCTGGAAAAACATACAGTGATGWCAAAACAGAATCTCAACTAAGGCATTTTGCACTGCATTTTTCAAAAACAACAGGGCAAGAAGCAGGGGACAATTACWTCTATTTAGCTCAGTAGGAAAGCTCAATTTACTGATGGGACTTAGCACTAAGTACCCAAGGTGTCACTTCTTCAAGTAGTGTCACTCGCTTTCAGAAATCACTTCTGGCGCTTGGCCTCCACGTTTCACAAACAGAACCGACCACAACGAGGAAGCCGGGGAGATTTCACAACGGAGAATCCCCAGGCTTGTGCGGAGGCGATCTGGGGCTGGCACCGGGAGCGGGGGGCGCTGCCTTCGCTCCCCACGGAGCCGCTGACCTGGATCACAGGGATTAGATGTCAGTTCCCACAGCCCGGCAGCCGCTGGCTCGGGCTCGCCCTCCCCGAGGTAAACACTCCCCGCAGCGGCAGAGAGGCGGCCTGRAGGCCCGAGGCCCGGCACAGCCCCTGAGAGCCACGGTACCGCCGGGCCCGGCCGGCGCTGCCCTTCACGGCAGGCCCTGCGCGGCCCGGCGCTGTGGAGGCCGTGCACCGGGGGAGGCCGGGGCGGTGCGGCAGCCCGTCGCGGTAGCCCAAACGCTCGTCCCTCCTGCGTTCTTTCCCTCCTTCCTTCCTTCTTTCCCTCGTCCCGTTCCCCCGCTCCCCGGCCCGGCCCCGCCGTTACCGTCACTGCTCCATCCCCGGCGCCGCCGCCCGCTCACCCGCCGGCGGGTCACGTGACCCGCGGTCAGCTGACGCCGCCGCAGCGCGGGGCGCGAGGGGCGGGAGGAGGCGCTGTGACGCAGCGGCGCCGTGACCGGCGGGGCTGCMGAGGCCGCGGGTTCGAGYCCCGCCCCGTCGTCATCGCCGCTCCGTGTTGCGCACCCTGCGGCCGCGGCTCGCCCGGGCAGTGCTGTCGTCACGGGCACCTCAGGGCGGCGATTGCCTAAGGGCCCGGTCRCTCTGATTAATCTGGGCTTGATTAGGGAATTTGTGTGAAAACCACACGTGGCTCAGCGCGGCCCCGTGYACCGCCGGGGAGCAGATGTTGGTCAAGAAGGCTTTGTAGGATTCTGCCCTTAGGGCAGAGGATGGCCGGGWTTGAAAGCATGTGTGTGTTCTTCCTGTGGCCAGTGGATTTTCCTCAGATCACAGAATCACAGTGTTAAGGAAATATTTAGSTTGGAAAAGACCTCTAGGATCACCGAGTCCAGCTAATGTTGAGCACCACGTCAACCAAACCCTGGTACTGAATGTCACATCCAATCTTTCCTTAAACACTTCTGGGGTTGCTGACTCCACCATCTTCCTGGGCATGGGCAATCTATTCCAGTCTTTAATCACTCTTCCAGTGAAGCAATTCCTCCTAAAATCCAACCTAAAGCTCTCCTGGTACAGCTTGAGGCCATGTCCTCTTGTTCTACTGCATGTTACCTTGGACCCTGACCCCCACTTGGCTACAGCTCCTCTCAGGCAATCAGAGTGATAAGGTCCCTTCTGAGCCTCCTTTTCTCCCGGGTAAACCCCCCCAGCTCCCTCAGACACTTCTCATGGGACTCATGCTCCAGATCCTTCCCCAGCTCCTCTGCCCTTCTCTGGACACGCTCCAGCACCTCAATGTCCTTCCTGAATTAAGGGCCCAGAACTGGATGTGGCAGTGAAGATGCGGCCTCAACAGAGCCCRGAACAGGGGGAAAGATCAGCCCAGAACAGGGAAAACATTTAGTGTTGGAAAACACCGCAGTAGTTCCACGATCACAACTATGGGAATATGTGCTGAAATACTTTACTGCTCTCAGTTTGCAGCAAAGGGCTTGGGAAAAGAGGAGGCTTGCATGCAGGTGACAGTGGGAAAACACCGACTTGAGAAGAGACTGTTGCTGCTTTATTTCGGCATCAAACCCCTCTTATCTCAGAATAGAAATGCTGAGTGAAGAAGAGCAGGTTGGAAATTGCACTATTACTAGCCAAGTTGTGTGAAATTGCCTGTCATCTTAATTCACAACATTATCTGAAAAAGCAGAAGCTATACAGAAGACAAACTATTTTGGTTTGCTAGTATTAGGGAACCAAATGGTTTGTTCCTATTTTTCTTAGGTTGTTTTGTTGGGGTTTTTTTTTTTTCTTTTTCCAGATAGGCAAGAGTTTGGGGCCATTGTATAGCTATGGATTGCTTGTGGTGAACAGCAAAGAGAAGGTGCAAAGGGGATCAGAGATACAGAAAGGTGATTTCACACAGTTGCAACCCGGCAGTGGATGGGGCTTTGTGTCTCTGCGAGCAGCTTCAGGTCTCTAGACTGGAAGAGTCTCCACTCTTCTCCTCTTTAGACATCAGAAGCTCCAAACTGTGCTTAGTCAGGTTCAGCGTGTGAATGTTGTTAACCCCTGATGTGACAGATTAGTCTTCCTTCAGGGCTGCTGAAAATGCTCCGGTTGCTGATCTGCCCACAGCCATAAATGGCCATTATAAATAATGCTCTTGACATGCTCCTACTGGTACAATTTTGTTAGAGAGACTTTTCTCATACAGTATAAAAAGACTTGCCATAAACTAACATGGTGAAACAGAAGCTTGCATACCTTAAAAGTGGGCAAACTTATTTTTGAATCCCCAATTAACAATTGAAGCAAGAATAATTTTTTAATGAATGAATTCAGTAAGTTTTCAATGAAAAATCCTGTAAAATTTCACAATACGTACATTTTCTCATTATTATTGCAAGCCATTCCCTCAAAATGTGGCAATATATGCCATATGCCAACATTAATCAGCAAATGCAAGACATTATCTGTGTTATTTTTGGAACAAGATAAGATTTTTTTGAGTGATCCATAGCTCCAAGCTATCAGATGGAAACTTGGCATCAACCTCTATAAATAGAGTGGTTAGTAAATGATACTCTAAAAGCAGTACTTAAGAGATGAACAAGAAACACTTCTAACCTGCAAAATGACAACATGCTTGTAAAATTACAGGAGGGTATTCTRAGAACAAGGACCTATCATCTATTACCTAAAGTCAACTGCCTAATGTGGTTGATTTTATAATGATATTTTGCCATTTGGTTAACTGATATCAATGAGGTACAAAGCAAGCCTGTAGGCAATCTATAACTCTTTACTAGGAAAAAAAAAAAGAGGAAAAAGTGATTGGCACAAATCAAATTACCAGGATATTAGCACCCTTGGCATAAATGCACAGTAACTGTGAGCTGCAACACGATCTTTAAGCAAGCTATTGGCGAGAAACCCAAGCCAGATGTGCAGTCATTATAAATSCTATCAGGGAGAAAACTGTAAATAGTGACATTTAAAACCACAGCTGCTACAATAGGAGTGGATATATGGTAGATTAAACAGATATGTTCACWAATATTTTTATAACAATACTTCCCTGTACTATTGCTCTATCTGGCCTGACAGGGATATATTTATGAAGATTCTGAAGCCTGGAAAAAAATAGTCTACATTTCTTTTTGTTAATGTCTTGAGAAMTCTATTTGTTGAAATATCATTCAGGGAGAACAATTATATGTCTTTTTCACCTCAATTATTTTCTGTTGTAGTTATTGAAAAATAATTATATCTTTAAATCATTGCATTGAAGTCTCATTCTATAATATAAATATATGTAAAAATTACTTTGGGTCAGGTATCTATGTAGGCCTGTATTCAGCTTTGAATATGTGAATGACACTTTTTTGTTGAATAATCTTACTATGCACAGGCTAGACACAGATTGACTTGAGTGTGCACTGGGCTGCACAGAGGTATTTGAGGTAAAACTACTTAGGATTGAGAAATCTTACCTGGGAGTCAGCAAGAGGTGATGAGGGCAAGGGTGCCCTTAGGTACATGAAGTGGTGGCTGTTTTACATCTGGAGAGTGAAAAATCAGAACACATGAGAGATTATGGAAGTAGCTGCTGCTGTTTGAAAATCCTGGTGATGAAAGTAACTCTGCCCAGGGTTAGGAGGGTCCCACAGGATTTATGTGACCCCAGGCGTGTATGGTGCATCAGGCAGCGATGGGGAGTCCCCAGGRAGGGAATCCACACCGGCTGTGCAGGAGCCTCAGCCAAAAAGCCCATTGCAGCCTGCTGCCAGCAGCCATAGAAGGACTCTGTCCCACAGAAGCCCTCTCATTTGTGAGTCGAGACTGACATTCCATGCTCCCTCACAGCAACAGAGGGTTCCAAAATGAACACAGTGAAAGGATTTTAGCTTTTCATTCTAATGTGATGGCTCTTGATATCTCTGGTCATTTTTGAGGGAAATACAGATTTTATTTGAATTCTGATTATTCACCCCTTCTATATTTATTTATTTGACTTTTAGCCAGATTTCCTCCAATGATTTTTGCAGAGCTATGTGTTCTTCTTTGATATGTGGATGATGTATGCAACAGAGATTTTGAGAGATGGTACAGATTTCCCTTGCTTTTTGGCATCCTCTGAGGCCATGCTCCTCAGATATTATACAAACAAAAGCTGACAAACTTGCTGAAGACAGTGGGAATATTATCATCATTTTAACACGATCATAATTTTACTCACAGTTTTATTAATATGTCAGTGGAATTCTTTTTTAATTCTGGTGGTAAAGGTGCTAAAATAAGGATTCTATAAAATTTTCAGGACTGAAGTCCTAAAAATGAAAAGTTATAATTTTAAAGCTGAAAAATATGTGTAGATCAAAAGATAGGGAAGAATAGTATTACTATACTTATATCCTTATATCCCTATATCATGTTGTGCAGTATTCAAATATCAGAAAAGTAAATACAATTAGGTAAGATCATAATATTCTGTGTCACATAGGTAAACTTCAGTGTAAAAGACCTCATCCTGCTGCCTCCATCAGTTTGGCTGATAGCAGAATGAGGGCAAAAATGTTATTGTTTTCCCAAAATTATTCAAAGAAAGCAGAGAAAAAAACCCTTATATTACTTCGTTATTTATCTTTCTTTTTCCTGGAGATGCCTTTTTAACTCATTTTAATAAAAAATACCTATCAAAGCACCTTGCACTTTAATTTTTCTTGATGTTGCCTGGGAGACACAAACCTTAAGATTGAAATGTAAGTCTTTGAAAAAGATTGGTTTTTTCAGCTAAGCTTTGTGCAGGAGACAGAATGTCCCTTCCCGAGCTGTTTCTCTGCATCCCTGACTTTCAGCTTCAAGAACTTGAGGTAGATAACAAATCTGAATTTTACAAAATTTTTAAAATTCCCTAATTATCACAATTGGCATTAAAGTCTCCATTTATATTAATTTATGCATATGAGCATTTAATTATTCTATACAATATGGGCAGCATATTCAGGACAGGTGCAGAAAGATTTAAACCGTCATGCCTGAAAAGTTTTGGGGCAGGCTGTACTCTAACAGAGTTGAAATCCRTGTCCAAAGCCTTGTTCCAAATCAAGCTGAGAGAAGTTATAAACAGCATTTGTGATCCCAGTTGCACACTTCACATGGACAGTATTGACCRCTGCATTGACCACTGCTTCCCTCATTTCAAACAGGACAGAGTCCTCAAGTACTCTGCTGTTATTAGGGAGAGCACCTGATTTGTTGAAGGGGGCACTGGGAAGCTCAGTATTGTCATGGATCATAGAGTAGTATTTAAATTAGTTATATGGCTGTATATTCTAAAAAATGGAAACCATATATAATTACATCAGTAATAGTGATAATGGATTGGCGAGTTACACTTTATGACAGATTAGGAAGATACTAGTGACAATGAAGTACCAAGGGCTATA